GCATCTAGATAGTTGCTTGCAAGCTTTTAAGATCCCAGTCACTACTCGCCAAAGTAGGAGGTGGAACAATGTTTTGTGTAGTATGTTATGCCAATTGAGCTTGATGGCCCCTGCAACTATGGTCCCAAGACCACAGGTTCAACTACTCGCTCTCTCTGGGTAGCTGGCTATGACCAAGAAGTGACTACAAACTTGTCCCTTGTCAGCTCAACTATAGCCCTGGGAATTCTTACAGAAAATACAAATACACTTGTAGAACCATTGTGTGCTAACCCTATACATGGTCTTGGGTACACTCCCTGCTGCATAGACATACCTAATAGTTCAGCCTGCCCACCCATCAGGATAGTATTCTAATATTGAGATACTTAGTAAGAATTATGTGCCAAAATACATATTCTCCAAGCCTCACCTGGATTTGGTTTCTCTGGAGAGCTGAGATTCACATGCTGATCTTCTTCTGAGGAAAGGTCCACATTGGTGCCATATGATGGATCATCCAAGAAAGAGGGCCTTTTCAGTCTCCCAATGCCAAGAGTTTTTGACATAAAATAATCTTTTGTGTCACTAGTAACTTCATCCTTGGAAAACTGGAGGCATTTCATATTCTCTGCTTTAATGACAAGAGCATCTGACATGTGATGCCCACTCAAGGCTTTGGTGAGATAGTAGCCTCTAGATGTTTCACATTCTGCCTTCTCAAGGATATGTGAATCTTCTACCTCAGTCTTTTTCACCTCTGTTTCTGATCCAATTAGTAACTCAGAGAGGACTGATCTGGAAAGCTGGGGAAACTCAGATGTTGTATCCTCGATGTCTTTGTTTTCTCGTTCTGAATAAAGTCTAATGATGGATTTTTGTTTGCATATGCATTCATCCAGAAGAGAGTTTAACTGTTCCTCAGAGAGAAGTGATGTTGAATCTAACTGAGGAAACAAACCAAAAGTTTTCATAGTCAATTGACTGAATAAACATTTATTCATTTTTGGTAAGCCTCCAATAATGCAATATAGGTACAAGTGCCAAGAATCCCCTTACACAAAACACCCAAATATCCAAATAATTCATTTTAAAGTATCAAAAAGATCAGGAAAATAAGTTTGGAATCAATAATATACATGAAAATCCAGGTGAAAGCACTGAAGTAACTGACCAATTAAACACTAATCACCTCTCTATATACATGAAGAGAAGTAACTTAAGCTGAAATGCACATATTAGAAACCACCTTTGTTTTAAAAAGTCTCGGGACATCAAGCATGGAAGTAGACAACTTTTTTATAAGTAACCAGAAATCCTGTCATAATATCCACTAGATGTTTCTCTGTCCCCATTCATTCCTCAGTGGGAAGCCACCAGCACCCAATTCTTTAACACAAGGAAAACGGGGAAGACCACACCTGCCCATGGGGATTCATCACTCCTCTGTCTGTCCACAACTTTCAGTGGACAATACTGCTGAAGAGAGAAAAGGAAGGGTGGAGGGGTGATGCATCCTGAGATGTGTAGTTGCCTCAAAGCTACAGATTTAGGCAAAGGCTAGGGGCATTCCAAAAGCAGTGCATTCTGGGAGGAAGATTTGATCATACACATTTATTTAATGGCTGATTGTGAAAGTTATCAGGGTGGGTCTTTCTCCAAAAACCAAATTCTTAAGGATTGAAAACATTTTTTTTCTCCCTTAGTGTTCTCAGGAAATAGATAAAATAAATAAAACCAAAGTATAGTTCTATGTTCTACACAAATTCAACTGAACAGCATGCTACTTGAATTGCAACAAAATCTCAAAAAGGTATGGAATTTAAACATATGAAAATACACTGGAAAAAAATCTCTCTTTCCTAAAGAATCAAGGTCTTCCTGATGTATACAGATGATTGTCTAGGAAAATACTGATCTTCCTTTATGTTGTTGTTGTTATGTGCCGTCGAGTCAGCCCTGACTCATAGCGACCCCTCCTTGGGTTTCCAAGGCAGTATCACTACGGAAGTAGGATTGCCCAACCTTCCTTCCAAGGAGTGGCTGGTGGGTTTGAACCGCCAGCCTTCTGTGTAGCAGTCAAGTGCCTTAGCCACTATGCTACCAGAGCTCCCATCTTCCTTTATAGAGATGTGAATTACCTAGGAACAAGAAGTCTCCACAAGAAAACTTAATCATGAATAGCATTCACCTGAATTTCTACTTCAGCAAAGTAAATATATACATAGAGAGAGAGAGAGAGAGATAGATAATTGCCCTACTTTGAAAGTATACAGTGAAAAATAACGAACTATTCTGTATATGAAAATTACTGAGGAAAAAAACTCAGTTATTGGAACTAGTACAGTTAATTCCCCATTATTGTGTGATGCTTCTAATTATATAATTAGAATAAATTATATATCAGATATATATTATATATAATATTACAATATATAAATTATGTATCACTGATAAATTATATCAGTGAATTAAAATTATATTTAACTTCCCTATATTGGAATAGGAGCTCCGGTAGCATAGTGCCTAAGGCACTTGACTGCTAACCAGAAGGCTGGCGGTTCAAACCCACCAGCCACTCTTCGGAAGGAAGGTGGGGCAATCCTACTTCTGTAGTGATACTGCCTCTGAAACCCAAGGAGGGGTCGCTATGAGTCGGGGCCAACTCGACAGCAAATAACAACAACAACAACATATTGGAATAGTGCCTAAGGCATTTGGCTGCTAACCAGAAGGCTGGTGGTTCAAACCCACCAGCCACTCCTCGGAAGGAAAGTTGAGCAATCTACTTCCATAGTGATACTGCCTCGGAAACCCATGGAGGGGTCGTTATGAGTTGGATCCGACTTGACGGCAGTGAGAGTTAGAGTTGAGTATATTAAAACCAAGTTTACATAGTGTCACTATGAATTTGAGAGTAATAAGAAATTATCTGGGGATATATTCTTAATTAATTGGCATTCAAAATTCAGATAATCCACCCTAACATTAATACACATGTCAACAAACAAGAGTTGAATTATACGTTAACAAATTCTCCTATAAATGGTAGACATTTCAGGCATCCAGATGTGCACTTTATCACCATAATGCCAAGTACCAAGTATCAGTAGCTTTCCCTATCCCCTACTAGTCAACTAGAAAATGGAGGCAATCCTTGTACAGTGCTGTTGTTGTGTAAGCATGTGCTGTTACGTTGATTCTGACTCAGAGTGACCCTATTGACAGAGTAGAACTGCCCTGTAGGGTGTCCAAGGCTGTAATCTTCACGGGAGCAGATTTCCAGATCTTTTCTCTGGGGAAGCCATTAGTGGGTTTGAACTGTCACCAACCTTTCAGTTAGCCAGCAGCCAAGCACTTAACCAATGCACCACCAAGGATCCTTTAAAGCTTACAGCATGCAGTGTTCCCAGGAAGTCTCTTAGTCAAGTACTAACCAGGCCTTGACCCTGCTTAGCTTCCAAGGTCAGACAAGACCAGGTGCATTCAGGGTATGTGTGTGCTGTATGGTGTCAAGTATTTTAAATGACATTTTCAAATTTGCTAATGTAAAATTGCTTATATTAAGTAGACAATAACTCTACAATTTAGAAAGAGCCCACTGAGTGCCTTCCTCACCAAACATCCTCACCCAAGGCTCATCATTATGAAATCTCCAAACACTAGAAACAAAAGACTATCCCAAAATCCTCCAAGGAGAAAAACAGATCACATACAAAGGACCTGAAATCAAAAGGGCATTTGGCTTTTCAATAGTAATATTGGAATTTTAAAGACGATGGAGAAATACCAACAGAATTCTGAGGGAAAATTCATTTCAATCTAGAATTCTATACCTACCCAAAAAAAATAAATCTAATGGAGGCAGGATAAAGAAATGCAAAGAATCAATGATGAACTTTTCATGTTCTGTTTCTTAGGAAGCTGGTAAAAGATGTACTCCACAAAAACAAAGATGTAAACAAAGAAAGAGGAAGGGACAGAGTCCAGAAAATGGAGAATCTAATCCAGGAAGGAGCAAAAAGAAGTCCCAGGATGACTCCTGACCTAGAAAGAAATCAGTACAGTTTGGAGCAGGAGGATGTATTCTGGAAGAGGGGGTTCTGGTAGAAAAAAAAAAGAAAAACTGCAACATAGAAAAAAGGATGAGGGATTGAAAAAAGGGATGGGAGTTTGGTATATAATCTGTTGTTTGACTACTTCAAAAATAACATTGGTAGGATAGATGACTTATGGCTGATCTGATAATGTATTTGGGTAGATACACAGAAAATTAGAGAAAAGGCAAACAAAGCAATTATAACTCTGGGGAAAAAAGTTATACAGAACAAAAGTTAAGATAAGGCATAGATACACAAAAAATGAGACAAAACAAAATAAGATAATTATTATTAACACTAAGGCAAACAAAAAGTTCTATAAGAAAAGATACCATAGGATACTACTTGCTTCTACTGTGAATAATATTTGCACAGTCTAAATCATAATGTAAATATTGATGACTGAGGTAACCAAACATTGTGATTTAACTAGTTTAGGAAGTGAGGAGAGAGAAAAGTATTTAGTGTATACGGTTAAATATATAGCTACCATTATAAGAAGTCAATATATAATTCTAAAACTGATAAATTAAGAAAGCAAGTTATTAAGAAACCATATAGAGATAAATAGTAGGGGAAAAAACATCTAAAGGAATTAAAAGTAGTTGATTCTGGAGAGTAAAACTGAGGGGTAGGTATTGTGGAAGAGGCTGCCATTTTTATTTTAAAAAATTTAATACTTTTTCTTTAATTCATTTCTTTCATTAAAAAGAATTAATTTTAAATTGATTTAAAATAAAATATAAAAACAAAATTAACTTAAATATACTCCATTTTTAAATAAAAATTAATATCAAAATAAACAAAAATTTGAAATATTAAAATAAGATTACCAAGTGATTATAACTTTGGGCATCAGAACCTGATCTAGGTCTCATGAAGCCTAAGCACAAACCATTTTGGAGCTGGGGGAGAGAACTTTAAGAAAAAGAATAAAACATCACAAGTACAAAATTGGTATGAAAGTGAATTTCTTTTTTCAGAATGTGAAAAAGATCACAATCCATTACTGGAACTTTTGAGATGCAAGTTCATTTCTTATAAGGTCATTTACCAGAAATGCTTATATAGAAATATTTCTTCATTACAATCTGGCTTCCTCCCTGCACACCATTAATACAATTACAAGTGCTAAACTGGACTCATTTAGGGCCCTATCACAAACATCCCTAAGTATCTTTGATAGCTAAGGGACCATAACCCATACACTTTACCCAAATTGTTCTTGAATCTCCTGAGTTAATGAGTGCCATAAATGAAACATTCACTGTGCAAACACAGTCAAATCATCATCTGTTCAAGTACTTACCCCAAAATATTCATCTTTCATGCCAATTCTAATTTTCTAATATTTCAGAAACTAGTCATTATTCATATTATTTCAAATTGAGCCCAATTTATTTTCTTTCCTTATATGAAAGCCTCTCTCTTTCCATATTCATTTAGTAAGTAGCCCTTTTATGGGTTGTCTTTTTTATTTTAGCCAATATACACATTTCCATAGTTTAGAATCAAAAGTAAATGTATTGGACTCACCTATTACAAAATATAGATCATGCACTTGCTTACCAGAAGGTTAGCAGTTCAAACTCACCAGCCACTCCTCAGAAGGAAGATTGGGCAAACTACTTCCATAGAGATAACTAACAACTCACTGCCATCGAGTCGAATCCGACTCCTAGTGACCTCTTCTTGGGTTTCTGAGGCAGTATCTCTACAGAAGTAGACTGCCCAGTATTCCTCCCGAGGAGTGGCTGGTGGGTTTGAACTGCCAGCCATACAGCCTCAGAAACCCAAGGAGTGGTCACCATGAGTCAGAACTGACTGAACAGCAGTGAGTTTGGTTT